TATGTTGTTTTTGGAGACCAGGTCTCCCAACAATCTGTTGGAATTCTAGTTAGTACCAATTACGCCCCTTTATTAGCAGACCTATTTTTGTATTTATATAACGCAGAAGTTTTGCAAAATCCTATGCGTGAAAAGAACAAAACACTGGCTGTGGTCTTCAACACGACATTTAGATATATCGACGACGTATTGCCAATTTACAATTGAAATTTCCATTTCTATATCCATACGAAATATCCTGGTGAGCTTGAAATTAAAGATACTACAGAGTCTGACACATCTGTATCATATTTGGATATCTTACTTGAAAAAAGACATAAATGGTAATTTAACAAACAAGCTCTATGATAATAGTGACGACTTTATTTTTTCTATCGTCAACTTCCCTTACTTCTGCAGCAATTTACCTTCATCACCTACATACGGAGTTAATGTATCTCAGTTGACTCGATAAGCAAGAGTATGCTCTACATATGAACAATTTCTAAGACGAGGTAAATTAATGACAAACATGTTGATGAAACAAGAATATCAGCAGTCTCGTTTAAAGTCATCATTTCGTAAGTTCTATGGTCGATACAATGAGCCTGTCATAAAATACAATTTATCATTGAGTCAAATGCTGACTCACGTTTTTCATTCAAATTGTTAGTTCATTATTTATACACTGAATTGACGACGGATTTCCCCGTTATTTCCTGATCATGACATGGAGCACACTGCGGGTGTGACAGGTCGGCAGGGGATGTTCACTCCTCCATGGCACCTGATTCCACTGCTGATGTTTTGAAGGTCCCTGTTTTCTCGGCTCCTGCTTCGTATAGTTTTATGGACTTTTGATCTTAAATACTGTTGGTCATCTCCATATGTTTCATCTGAGGATGCTTGCAATTAATATGACCTACCATGGCTTTGCTGTTCTTGAGAGGAAGAGCCTTTAAACTGTGATCGTCCACTGTGACTCGACCCTTCCTCCAAGGGTCATGATTTGAACAATCTTGAATCTACACCACCTTGGAATGCTTCTTCATAAATATGATTAATCATGGCTTTGTTGTTCTTTAGAAAAAAATTTAAGGATTTTTCTAATATACATATACTCCAATGATAAATTTTGATCGTCCATATTGGCTCCACCCAATCCCTGGGGGCATGATTTGAACAAACTTAAATCAACTCCAAGATCAAAACTCCTGTGAAAAAAATACTAATTTAGATAACAGAAATCACTGCCTTCTACAAAAAACTCCAGAGGTCGGATCAGACGTAAAAGAGGAGTAACCAACCCCTCTCGACAAGTCACATTCGCCAAGCGCTTTATGACTTACTCGGTTGTTAATGTGTAAATTAATATTTAGAATAATTAACATTTTAAATAATTGATTTTAAAGTATATAATTTGCGAAAGTTTACACAATAAATAGGGCATTGGGTTTTTTTTTCAATTTGATTTTCAATAAGCTGGATAACAGCTGTCTCAAGTTGGGAAGGGGGGGGGGGGGGGGTCTAAAGACAATTCTTATTGAAATAAAATGCCCTAACAATTTGTACGAAAAATGTCTTTAATTCCATACGTACATGTATGAGATACTATTACATGTATAAATTTATTACTACAAAACTATTTTAAAATTTGAGGTCATCGTGATTATTTTTTATTTCAGTTTTTTATTATCATCCTTTTTTTATCAAGTAAATATCCAATTTTCGAGTTCTTGGGAATATCGAAGCAACCTAGGAATGAAAATTAATATCTTTAAAATGAAATTGAGAAGATTTATTTTCTTAATTTAAAAAGTTTGTTCACACTGAAATGTCCAGTGATTTTTCGATTTCTCTGTTTCTACAAGGTGCACACTGTGGGTGTGCCCGGTCGACAGAGAATACTAGTTACTCAATGGCACCTGATACCACTGGTGATGTGTGAAGGTGTCAATGTTTGCTCTGCTCCCTTTTTGAAAAAGTTTCAATAAACTGTTGAACTTGATGGTTGTGTTGTCGTCTTATTTCATTCAGTATTTAAAAAATTTAGTATAAAACTAAGACCTACGTAATGTAATCAACTTAAATCAAAAGACTGCACTTATCTATTTCTGTAATTGAATTTTTAAAAAAAGAAAGAATTACTCAAGTTTAGAATGGCAATTCTTAAAAATTGAATACATATAGTAAGACAATCATTTATAAATGTTTCAAGCTTCTAAAGTCCCCCCCCCCAAAAAAAAAACAAACCCTTTTCCCCGTACCATTTGAAATTCACTGTTTATAGTAATCTCTTTCTCCTTTGCTTGGTAGAAAGTTTTTGTTGGAAAAAACTTAGGATTTTCAACAGAGATAAAAAGGAAATAACTTGATATATAACGCATACGTGAACTTGTAAATAATAAACTAGTTTTAACATGTCCACTCCTGTCATTTTGATTTAAAACTTACAACTCAAGAGATAATCAAATATAGGCAGTCAAGAAAACGAAGCTCACCTCGACAAATGTTATCAGTTTATGTAATGCAAATCTCACATAATAATTTATTTATAGTTAGTATTCATCCTGAAGACAATATTCATGCAAGTCCTGTTTAAACAGGTCTTATACTTCATTGAGAATTGATCTGCTCCAATTTTCAACACAATCTTTAATCTGTTAACTAATCAAAAAAGTTTCCTTCATTTCCTACATCCAAATTAAAGCAAGTCTGCTATTGTCCATCCTTAGATGCGTCATCTATGCAAGTTAAATCATGTAAACAGTCTCCATTTTTGTCCAATTCTGTCTCATTCTTATTTTCTTTCAATTGTTTTGAATTTGTTTTAGGTATTTTTCGGTTTCAGATTAGAAGTGGAATTTTTTTTTACTTTTTATGCAATCAATTACATGAAATATATGGAGATAACGAACAGTGTCCAAGATCAAAAGTAAAAAAAAAATACAAAATAAGAACCCTCCAAAACCATTAGTGGTGGGATCTGTGGCATTCAGCTCGACATTTAGGAATATCGACGACGTATTGTCAATTAACAATTGTTATTTCCATACTTCAACTTCCCTTACTTATGCATCAATATACATTCATCACCTACATACGGAGTATTTATCAGTTGATTCGATACACATGAGCATGCTCTTTGTATGTAGTTTCTAACACGAGGTAAATTATTGACAAACAAGTTGATGAAACAAAAATATTAGCTGTTCTGTTAAAAATCATCATTTCGTAAGTTCTCTGGTCAATATAATGAATTTGTCATCAAATACAATTTATCATTGAGTCAAATGCTGACTGATTTTTTCACACTCATTGTTAGTCCATTATTTATACACTGAATTGATGACAGATTTTTCCGTTATTTCCCGATCAGAACAAGGAGCACACGGCGGGTGTGACTGGTCGGCAGGGGATGCTCACTCCTTTATGGCACCTGATCCAATTTCTGATGTTACGGAGACCTGTGCTTGATCTGCTGTTATTTTGTATTGTTTAATGGACATTTGAGCTTGAATACTGTTCGTTATCTCCATATACGAGGGAGTATCAAAACCCCATAAAATTAAAACCGCTCTAGGTACATCAATGCATTTTAAAATATCTATAAAACATCATCTTTTCTATCTATAGAAAATACCACAAGTCATAAATTTAATTCTTAAATAAATAAATAATGTTTTTGAAAGCAATGGTTTTTCCTGGCGGCGCAACCTTGAACACGACGGTTTTTTTTTTACCTAAGTGTAACTGAGAACAACTTGTTTGATATGAACATTTGACATTCAATTTTCCCATTAATTCAGGAACTAGTATATGCTTGGACACTATTGTTTCATAAAATATGGATTTTTTTTTACCTGAACCTGGAAGTTCTTTGAAATTTTATCTTAAATTTTACATGGAGTGTCCAAACATATAAGGCCTTAAAAATGATGTCAAAAAGGGGGAGGGTTTCCTTTTCCAACATTCCAAGTTTTGCCCCTGAAAAAACTGGCATGGACCTAGGAAATGTTTAAACTGGCTACGGAGAAATAATATGCATCCAGAGTACTTGTTTTCACATGTAATGCCAAAATGAATTTAAAGAGAAAAAGAATGCAAAGTTTATGTGGATTTGAAGTCAAGGTGTGAAAAATCAATCACGTCAAAAATGACGTTGATCATGTGTTGTAGCTATTGAACTCCAAAAGGCAAAATATGCTGAAACAATCAAGCGAGAATCTCTCCCAGTATATAGATCTATTTGAAATTTTATATGCACTGAAAGCCGCTGTTCATGACATTGTAAAGTTATATAAACAAGACGGGTTAAAGTCCTTACTCAGCTCCAGGGAATCTCATCAAAATAAGTGTATAAGGTAAAAGAAACGGACCTTGAAAAGCAATGACGTTGTCGGACGTCAGGAAACTGAACGGTGACAGCGCCAGAGGATCATATAATGTCGTTTTAATTTTATAATAATTTGGCAGATAATGAACGTATTAAGCTCAAATTTTCAACAATTATTTTTTCTGTGTTTTATGTTCCTTATAAATATCGAAAGCACAGACTACGTAGTTCTAATTTTATAGCCCCAGTCCACAAACTTTTTGATAACCACTCGTATTTCATCCGTAATTATAAACGAAAGAGGGCACACGTGGAAATCGACCAACGTATGTTTTTATTCTTTAATTTCAAAGGATTTCAAAAAATATTAAACTCTACCAATTCAACTTTCATTTTGAAAATGTTGATACTACATTAGCAGTCAGTAAATTAGGTTAGTGTCATAACATTGTATTACGTTTAAAGTTATAGGATGCATTCAATGAAAATCCGTACACTATGAATGTGTTCAGGATAAAAAAAGATAATCAAAATAAAAATGAATTATTCCCAAAAATATATGATTGTTGACTCAATGGTTAAAGGAGAACCAATTTCTTTTCACATATTTTTATTATTTATTATAAAAATCTGAATATATGAAAACAGAAAAAAATATTGTCAATTTTGCCAACACTGGAACAAATTTAGAGTAAAGATTAGTATGTTCAAACTGCAGTTGATACTCTCTGTGGAATATACAAAGTTTCTTTTTCACAAACTCTACCAGTGCTATTATTGTAGAAATTCATTTCACTCCTCGTCTTGAAGCTGAGATAATTACCACTCCGACAGCAGTCTTCATTCATGGACTGAAAAATACATAATAATGAACTATAAAAAGTCGATTCAATTCAAACACAACAACCATAATAATTGAAATATTGAAAGTACCAAGTTAAATCAAGTTCATGGTTAAACTAATGTTTCTCTAAATGAGATACCGAGTCAAAGTTTCCCTTGAGTTTTCGCGAGCTGACACGTAAAGTATTGGCGCCAACTTCACACAGATCCTTTTCTAGCGAGCTCCGGATGGAGGATCTGTTCCTCCGTCCACCCGTGGAGGATGAGGAGGAGGAGGGGGAAGTCTCTTTTAGTATTGGTTCCTGGCGAACTATCTTAAATCCACAACACAGTTTTGGCATCACCTTTTCCTTGAATAATTTCGTTGTTAGAGTGTAAAGAAGAGGGTTGATGGCGCTATTTATAGGCATCACGAAAATAATCAACCAAGCATAAGTGTCCTGATTTATTTGTTCTCCTGAATATAGAAATTTAAAAGAAAAAAAACTATTATTGACTTTTGCAAAGATTCAGTATCATAGATATTTGAAGGAACATCAAATAATACTTTAACCTAAGAGACATCAATTCAAATGAGTTGATATATTCTAAATTGAACCTCTTTTAAATAAACCATACCTGAGATAGCTATGAACTTTATGATGATTATTGGCATCCAACAAAGAAAGTCAGTTAAAATAATAAAAAAGAATCTTTTTACAAGAGTCCTTTCCTTGTTCTCAAAATGAGACCGTACAGTCTTCGTTGAGCGCTTTATTGCTACGAACATGGTTATATATGCAAAACAAATAAATGTGAATGCTGCCAAATTAAGTCCGAGGAAGAGAAACACGGAATACTGCCATCCTCTGACCCAGGGTCTGTGTAAATGAAAAGGGACACACACAGCATTGTCCTTGTAGAAATAGACTCCAAAGAAATCCGGCAGAATCACAGGAAGAACAGACAGAAAAAGCGAGATAATCCAAATTATGCTAACATTCATCAGCGCAAACTTAAAACTCTTCCTTCTGCGGAACAGAGGAAGAGTTATGCTGATATAACGGTCTAGAGTGATCAAGGTCAAGGTTAGCACAGAGGCCTCGTTACTGAGCGTGCTCAGAATACCACATAAGTCACACGTGGCACTGGAGCGCCACCCCTCGTCCTCCACCAAGTAACTTCCCCTGAATTTCTGATCGTGATAACCGATAATAATCAAGTAAATACCCATCAGCATATCAGCAAAGGATAGGTTTTTAATATAAAAAGAATGCACCTGGTTGTCTTCACGTAGCAAGCTCCTTCCTAAAAGGACCAAAAGGTTTCCAAAACAAGCACAAATGGCGACAAGCCATACCATGATGCGAAGAAATCCGTTTTCCAGTAAGTTGTAACGACTTGATATGCCATCTCCAAAGGGTTGACAAACTACATCACTCGGTACGTATGCACACATATAAAACTCATCAAAATACCTGAAATGAAAAAAAAATTGGGAAAAACTCAAGTCCTTGGAGATTTCTAACGCCTAGAAAGAAGGAAAACAATTATGAGTTCCAATTTTGGAATGGAATTGTATAACTTTATAGACTAAGGGGATATATGTAGACGTCGAAGCATTAAATATTTTGCACATATACATATTTGTATATACTAGTATATGTTAGATGTGAAGTTAGGAAAATGACTAAATGTTTCAATCTTTCCATGATTAATAGAAAACAATGTACATCATATTCATATTTTGAATAAAAGAACTTTATTCGGTAATAACCAATATTTGCCCCCCATATCAAACTTTGATGGAGATGTATTTTATTAAGTTCTTAAACAGGAGAGTATATGCTGACTTCAAAGCACTAAATATTTTCATAAGTAATGAGGCCATATGTAGGTAATGACGTCACAAACATGACGTAAATTTCAGTTTTTTATGAATTTTACAGAAAAATGTACATATTTCTTCGATATTTTGAGTAAAAGTAACCGAGCGCATGTGTGTTCAGGATCAATATTTTGATATAATGTGTAGAATAATAATATCAATGAAATATGTCAATATTGTTCCTGAACAAGCTTGCGCTCTATGAATTTTAAAGCTAAAATTGTTGAAATTTTGTCAATTTTCTTCTCTTTCTGAAAAAGGATATAAAATCGAACTAGTTTGTGACGTCATAAAAGCAAAAATTGTGAATACACTGCTTTGACACTGTAATATTTTCTGTTAATTCATATTTCTCATACAATTTATTGAATTCAGCACATTTCAGGAAGTTTTCAAAATTTGACTTTTGTGGGGGCAAATATATGCAATATACCGCATATAGTTCTTTAGGTCTGCTCCAACTTAATGTTTAAACAGTCTGTATAAAATGAAAGTATATTCATTAATATCACTACAGTATGGAGCAGGTTTGCCCTCTTAAAATTTTATTTCGAAAATTGAAAAATAAATTGTTTCCCCTTTGTTCTCTTTCTAAAAACGTTCATATACCTACTTTTAAACTATATTATTCTTGGCTTATTAAGAATTTTCAAACACTTCAGACAATTCAAATCATTTTAAGAAATTTTTAAAAATCTGATCTTTGGTGCCTATGTTAGAAGGTTATATTAGCCATTCAAATAGAAGGCGTAACATTAAACGTTTGTCATAATTAGTATTCATTCTGTTTACAGGCTACGATAGTAAGTAGTAGGTTCCCCTTGGCGAGGAAGTCATAAAGATACCTACTAACATAGTGAAAGTTACTTATAAATTCTAAATTTACTAATATTATCTAGTTAATACTTCTTATAAGGTAATGGTTATATGGACAGTAAATATACAAGTCTTTTAAGTTACTTTCATTAGTTATTTTTTCCCATTGTGTGCCTTTTATAGTTTAGGTTAAAATCTCTAAGAGATAAAACAATATTTTGTGTTAAATATACTGAAACGCAAAAGAAACGCAACACCCTACTTTAGGGGAAATAATTATGAAAAGTAAAGAATTTTGTATCTTAAAATGAATATCTTCAATTTGGTAAATATCGATAATTTAAGGTTGAACGATTTTCATACTATAATCGGAAGGCAAGTTTGAGTCTGCTTAACAGAAATCAAAAATTGCAGCAATATGCAGCAATATTTCAAAAAATAAAATCTTTTGTTTCCCGTAACGATGCTATGGCTTCTTGAAAATGGCTTAAGTACGCATTTCCATTGCTCTAGCTGGAAAATCTCAAAGTGAAGCTGATGGAGGGTTGATGATGCAAAAATGCACTATATTACGCCTCAACGGGGTCTTACATATCATATGCATAAATGATAGTCCTTGGACCGAATCCCCAGGGTTACTACAATGCGCTACGTTAGAGAACTAATCATCTGAAATACAGGCATTTAAAAATTGCAAAGAATAATTCATTCGCTCAAATCTCGATATTAATTAACCTGTATCGTTGTATCGTTGAAATTAAGCTGCAATTGTTGTTTAGGGCAGCCTTGCACGTAGTAATTGAATGACTGGAAGGGGGTGTCTTAACAGTCATATTTTACATCTAACATTTTCATCAAATCTCTGATGTTTTGAAAAGTGAGTTTAGCCTTACTGTATTCTTTTTTGAAAGTCATCAGATAAAAAATTCAAACATTTGTAGATTACTGCTTGTTGCGTTTCTTTTGCGTTTCAGTATAGAACTACTTGAATTTACTTTTAGTAAAACAATCTGCTCTGCTTTTACAGTATTCTTGGAAGAGAATCCTAAAATAAACGAATATGTTGGTCTTTTATATGAATTTAAAGCAATACTTACATTGTTATAAATTCTCTAAGAGTACAATGTAATTATCCAATGTATCGAAGATCCTTTGATTATCAAAATAACCACAATTGAAAAAGGTCTAGACACATAAAAATACACAAACTTGGGTATAAACCAATGCAAAATAGGGAACAGGAAGTTAGAATGAAAATATTTAAATCAATATTTTAAAAATTAACGAAAATAAACAGTTTTTTTTTTAAATTGTATCCCACCTCTGATGTTTTACAGGTCCGTGTTTGCTTTGCTCCTATTTTTGTATTTTTTTTTATGAACTTTTGTTTTATCCCATTTTTAGCTTACTGGTCAATTACTGTAATGCGTTCTCTTGTCTGTTTATACATTTCAAAAATACTACTCCTACAGTTTTGGATTTCAATATAACTTGTTATCCTAAGATACATTTTTGTGCATTTTTTGATTTCGATGAACGGTGTTGCCTTGGTTACTAAAAATAGAAATTTCTGTGAAATTCTTTCAAAACGCTACTCTTGTTTTTCTATGGCACACAACGTAGACTACACTAAAATACATAATTCTGTGCATTGGTTTTTGATTTCGAAATAAGTTACTAAAAATAGAAATTTCTGAAATTCTTTCAAACACACATTCATATCTTGGTCCGATTTCAGTATAACTTGGCACACAAGTAGACTACACTAAGATACATAATTCTTTGTTTTTGATTTCAAGTGTTAATAAAATTTCTGTGAAATTCTTTCAAAATGAAAAATTTCATTAAACTTGGCACACAGGGCAAAAATTAATTCTGTGCACGGTTTTTGATTTCGATAATATTAAAAATAGAAATTTCTTTGAAATTCTTTCAAAATGCTACTCCTCCTAGATTTCCTTGGCACACAAGTAGAGAATAATTCTGTGTTTTTTGATTTCGATAAACGGTGTTCTAAAAATAGAAATTTCTGAAATTCTTTCATACACAGTTTTGGTCTGATTTTGATATAACTTGGCATACAAAACACTAAGATACATAATTCTGTGCATGGTTTTTGATTTCAATGAACAATGTTGCCATGGTTACTAAAAATAGAAATTTCTGTGAAATTCTTTCAAAATGCTACTCCTCCTGTTTTGGTCTGATTTCACATAACTTGGCACACAAGATATTAATAATTCTGTGCATTGGTTTTTATTTTGATGAAAATAAATTTCTGATATAAAAACCCAACTGCTACTTTTCTCTTCCTTTGTTTTAAGTATAAAAGAACACGACATTTTCACTGCTTGTTGTTAATGAAAACTGAAAAAACACAAATTCATATCTTGAGTGTCTTTGTTTGCAAGTGTTAAAATAAACAAAGAAAAAAAATAAGGGTAAAAATTTCCATGTTTACGGTATTACGGCAGGAAAGAGAAAAAATTTAGTTTCCTGAACAAGGACACGCAGTTCCTAACTGCACTTTATACACATTGTTTTCATTTACAATGAAATTACAATGTATATATCTGTATATAAGGTTTCATTGAGCAGTTATTGGACATAGTGGGTTTTTCTCATCACTTTATTTTCTTGACCGGTATAAATATACCATTGTGAAATTCACCATTTCGGACATACTTCTAACCGAATATTTAGGCCAACGTATTCTTAGTTTTTTTCTTAATCGAACGCAGTGTATTTTCTTTTCTAAAAGAACAACCAATAATAAGTATTCTTTCGAAGGAAATCCTGCCATATTTACTTAATATTACTCTGCTGTAAGTCGGACAATGTCCTCTTAGTAAAGAACGTTGGTTTCTTTAAGAAACTCGGATATTGATTATCGTTTACAATACTGAAAGACAGATCTGTTTAACCCATTTATGTTTCTAAAGTGAATAATGATATTGCCCAGCTGACACTTGTACTTTGGGTTATGGCTTAGATGGTAGAAGTATTTTTTACATTGGAATTTCTTTTCCTCATAGCTAGTGATTTGTGTCTAATTATCTAATTATCTGTTAAAGAGAACTATTAGAGTTTTGAATCCCGATTATTTCAGAAGACCTGTTTGAGTACAACAAATACATCTACCTCTGCATAAAATTAGTGGCTGGATTTGACTATATTGATAAAACAAAAAATATTGTGTAAAAAGTTTTATTGTTTTCTTTTATGACATTTATTGATGTTAACTTCAGTGCAGAGACACCGTCGTTTAATAAAAACCAATTAATTGTCCTGATGAGACTCTTCTTTGGTAAGGTTTTATAAAATCGAGGGAGGGGTTGTCATTTTAATACGATATGGTGAAATCATTGTGCGTTTTATTCTGTTTCACATCAATTTGTGTACAGCTAAGGTTCTTGTACTTAACAACATAAATTCTTAAACAAATTCCTTAGTTTACAATTAAATATAATGATCTGATACATGATTTTATCAAACGTTTGTATTTTAAAGAAGACAACTGAAAAGGACATCTTTAAGAAACCGTGACCAACCTTTTTGAGTCCATTATTGCTATACTTACACATAATGGAGTGACGAGAGGCCTCTTAAGGTTTGCTTTTGGAGGCTTCTGAAGGCGTTCTTCCGGAGGTCTCTGTAAAGGAAAATTCAAATAATAATTGTTAACCTGAGGCAACGGACAGCATCGCTCACCTGATCCATTTGAATAAAAGCTCAGGAAGTATTCAAAATTTGAATATATAAGAGTACGCATTGACCACTACTAGAGTGATTGATTACAATTGACTCTTTTATATGACGATGCATTCTGTATCTGTTCTGAAGAAAGAAGTTTATGGTGATATTTCCTACGTAAAAATTTATCTCCTCTTGTTGTTCCTCCTAACCACAGGGGTCATCTTTTGTACATACTTTAATTTACACTACCTGAGGGTACTTTTAATTTTCATATAAAGATAATGTCTTTGCTATTCTTGAGATTATTCGATACTGTATATATTCTTATCAAAAAAAATTTTCGATCCCCCATGAGAACCTACCTACCCAAGACTTATGATTTTAACAAATTTGAATAATCTTTACCTGCGGATCTAATATATTAAATGCCTAAAATGGTTCTACAATTACCAAAAAATGCCTTTTAGCCAACGAAGTTGAAAATTGGCCCATTAATCTGGGGAAGCAGTCAAAAATGTGAAAAGTTACCAACATATCAGAACAGACGGCAAACAGACAGACAGACCGCCATCGGAGTTTTGGTTTTATCAAAAAGCTCACATTTTGCTCGCAAGAAAATATCCTTACCTCTAGATGTGAAACTCTAATTGCTACATGAACCTAGTATTAGTATCATTTATGTGCATTTGCTTATAAGTTATAAGAATTATATTGCTTTGCTTCCGAATGTCTAGACTAATTAGTTACAAATGATCAATTATTAATTTTCAGACTCATAAAGGATTGCATGTGCGATGTTAATTGTGAATATAATTTCTTCACGATTTTGATTCTAAACAATAGGTCAATAGATCACAATAGTCAACACTCATCTCTTATATTCGGAAAGTATTCCTTATCTGCTGATGTAAATAACAAAATATTTCACGGTGTCCACAAGTTCTCTTTTTCTTTTTCTGTTTCTCTATGTCATTTAATAATAGATGTATAACTTTGATTCTTTATATTATGAGAATTTTATTTGAGATTATATGTATCATGCTTATCATTATTTTAATAATTTTTTTTTTCGTAAGCATTGTTGTCAACGGTAATCATTCACATGCATCATTATTGATTTACACAATGTATTAACTCTGAATCCTTCATAAGTGTCTTTGAAATAATTTGTATATATATAATGAATACGTATAACTTAACATTTATATTTCAATTCTAAATAATTTGTTCTACAATGACTATCATTAAGATTATTCTATATATTACAGGGAATGGGTTTTTTTTCTAAGTTGCAAGAAATTGTCCCGAATCCATTTGTATGTGTTATGCAATAAAATATGTTCAAAACAATTAAACAAAAGATTCTAGATCCTTTACAGTTTGATAGACTCTTGTACAATAATACTTACAAGGACACAAGCTTCTTCAGATGACGTAATGCATTAGGTGAGACTTTGACAATTTGATTGTACACCAGATTCCTGATTAAAATATAAAAAAGAACAAATGGAAAGGCAAAAATAATCCCTTCTTACTTTCTTTCCCAAAATTCAACAAATCTTTATTAAACATATTTATCATATGAAAATTGTCATTGTGTGAATAAGCAGAGGGTCGCAAATAAAATAAGCCTCTGAATACGTTACATTTCAATATTTGATTGCACAGTCTTTTTTTCAATGGTTGCAAGTAAATACATTATCAAAGTGTATATCATTTTCGATCTAAGAGGAACGATTTCATAGAGTGATTTATTATATTGGAAATGACAGCACGATCGTTTGCAATTATTTTGAAAGTTCTTGTCACAGGAAATACATAAGTAAAATATATATATATATATATATATATATATATATATAAAAATATATATATATATATATATATATATATATATATATATATATATATATATATATATATATATATATATATATATATATATATATATATATATATATATATATATATATATATATATATAAATAACATAGCACCTGCCCTTCAAATGTTATGACCACCTTTAAAAACAAGAGGCCCATGGGCCACATCGCTCACCTGAGAAGCTTTGACCATTCTGTTCTTTACCAGATTTCCCCTTGTAATACATAATGCATCCCCACCCTACCCCACTGATCATAATTTAGACATTTTGAAATCTACACTACCCCAGGATCCTTTCATGTGCACACAAGTTTCAGCTTTTCTGGCCCAGTGGTTCTTGAGAAGAAGATTTTCAAAGATTTTTTCCTATATATTTCTATGTAAAACTTTGATTCCCAATTGTGGCCCCTCCCTTCCCCTGGGGGGTCATGATTTGAACAATTTAGAATCTACACTTCCCCAAGTAGCTTCAACATAATTTTCAGCTTTTCTGGTCCAGTGGTTCTTGAGAAGAAGATTTACAAAGATTTTTCCTATATATTTCTATGTAAAACTTTGATTCTCCTTTGTGGCCCCGTCCTTCCCCCGGGGGTCATGATTTTTACAATTTAGAATCTACTCTACCCCAGAATGCTTCCATATAAGTTTCAGCTTTTCTGGCCCAGTGGTTCTTGAGAAGAAGATTTTCAAAGATTTTTCGTATATATTTTTATGTAAAACTTTGATTCCCCATTGTGGCCCCGCCCTTCCCCCGGGGGTCATGATTTGAAAAATTTAGAATCTACACTACCCCCGAATGCTTCCACATAAGTTTCAGCTTTTTCTGGCCCAGTGGTTCTTGAGAAGAAGATTTTTTAATGACCCCATCCTATTTTTGTCTTTTCTTGATTATCTCCCCTTGTGAGGGGACTTGGCCCTTTATTTTAACAATTTTAATTCCCCTTTACCCAAGAATGCTTTGTACTAAGTTTGGTCAAAATTGGCCCAGTGGTTCTTGAGAAGAAGTCGAAAATGTGAAAAGTTTACAGACGGACAGACAGCTAGACGGACAACGAACAAAATCTGATCAGAAAAGCTCACTTGAGCCTTCGGCTCATGTGAGCTAAAAAAAAAAAGAGACCAAACTGACATGTCATGGTCAAGAGGTGTAAATGCGAAGAATTACAGATGTGGAAAATAAAAGTCATAGCACCAACCATTTAAAAAGCAAGGGTAAGGTAAATGTCTTTTCGAACTAAAAAAATACAGATTAGTGGACAACCAAACACAAATAAGGACGGAGAGATCAAAGAGCATTTAATCCGGAATCACCGTTTACGAGACATAAAAACGAGTAGTGTTATATGTTTCTTATGTTTCTATCGGATATTTTCTCTCCTATTACGACATTCTTAGATGCCTCTCCGTTCTTCATCTTCATGTCAGAGGACTTTATAATTTCAAATTCCTTCCATTAATTCTGAAATTACTAGATTCAATCTTATACCAAGTCTGAAAGGTTTAGTAGCAGCTAAGATTACTTGAAATATATAATGATTGTTTATCCAATTTTTATTGTAATTTTATGATTAAGATTGAACGGAAATCAATGAGTCTAGATGTTGTTTTCTTAACTGAAACACATTTTTTTTTCTCAAACAGTATCCTTGGTAATGACTCCTGAAGATTGTCCATAAACCATAAATTTTAAAGAAAAAATGAATGTCATGGTCAACAACAAAATGTAAACTGAATCTTGGAATAAAAATAAAAGTCAGGGTTAAACTTGGATTACAAAAACACAATAAATTTTGAATTGAATGCAAACAAAAGAATAATGTCTTAGTCTTCGATATATTTCAATACCCTGTGTATTAAAAGTTTAAGATTTGACTGTGAACCAGAAACTTATACACTTTCAGATCATTGAATAGACAATTTGATACAAAAAATTAGGTTCATTTTAGTTAGCCTAAAAAAAGTCCATAGGCAAACCCTTTATTTGTTTCTTAATTTATTGACTAAATCATGGACTTTTCAAAAAAAAGTACAGGCATAAGAAAATTAAAGAATTATGAGAAATGAAATCCATATACTTTTCTAAATAGCGGAAACTAGAAGAATTTAAAACATACAAATGAGTGAGATTCTCCAGACCCTGGAACACGCCTGATGAAACGGACATTATTCTATTCTTGGATAAGCCTCTGAAATTGAAATACATTTTTAAAATTTTATTTAATTTTCAATATTTGTAATTTGAAATATAAAAATGATGCACATTTTGGCAATTACTGATACATTTTGAGTGCTGTTTTCACTAGATTAATAAGGATGTAAATGATTACTAAATAAACACATACTTACAAAGTATGTAAAGAAGTCAGAGAAGCAAAGGAACGGTCCTCTATTCTAAAAATGGCATTTTCATCGATGTATCTGTAAAACAATATGCACACATTGGAAAAGGTGTTTACAAAGGCTTGTTAATATTTATAGGGACGATTTATTTCAGATATTATCGGTGTAATTTAGTCATTCTAATGCCTGATGAGGGGAAAGAGAATAGTTAGGTGATATACAATCTTGTTCATATTTTCATTGAAATTGCGAAGTATACTTACAAAATGTCCAAGTTTGTCAGGTGATGAAAGAAATAGTCTTTTATTGTTGTGAGTCTGTTTGATATAAGCGACCTAAATAGAAATAAAAAACTGTTAATTCACAAAATGGTTATTAACTCAATAATAACTAGTTACATCATCTTTAATATGCAAAGATAAAAATGTTTAATACATACAAAACTTTCAATTGAGACAGTTCCTGGAATGTGTTCACTTCTATATGATAAATCTTATTGAAGCCGAGGTATCTACAGCAAAATTATGTCAAATTATTACAGTGCACACTTTGTGTCCTTGGATGACCATCTTTTACTGGGTATATTTGAGTTTAATATTATGATTTTACAACTTTAAAACTACAGATTTTAAGTCAAGAATTATTTCAGCTAGGAGGAAATGAAAAAATAATTTTCTTTCACTTTGAAAACTTTAGGCTTCTATGTCATATATACATGTAATTATACTTACAGGCGTTTGACATGCCTCAAGTGGGGAAACATCTCCTTTGTTAAAATGGTAAGAAGGTTGTTTTCTATTTTTCTACAAAATACATTAAAGATGTTTAAAAATGTGCGTGTATAAGGTCTGTGTCTAGGAAGAGATTCTATCTTCTAATAAATATAAATATGGTTCCAAATTTTAAAAATATACTAATTAAATTTTATAAAAACAAGATAAAACTTGTAATTTTGATTTAGAATTATTATATTCTGCAGTAAACTGTAAAATATGACTTAACGAAGTTTATACTTGATATTAAAAGTCTTAGCAATTTTTGTCATGTATTTGTTTTTTATTTCTAAAAACAAAGCTAATTAATTTACTATCAAAATCATAAACCTCGTATATATCACACCGCCGAAACACTAGATTAGTATCGAGTCAAGTGATTTGGGGTACGTGGCTGATGAGAGCCACTTTTTTTTGGAAAAAAAGAAAATCAAAACCCCGATAAAAGCTTTTAGATATTGAAAAAATCTGCTTATTTTACTAGTATGTTACAATTTTCCTTGACTTAAAGAATAAATGTACTCTATTTGACACAAAATGATGACATAGAGATATTCATAATTCTGCTCAAAGTTCAGGATAAAACCCTCTCAATATAAAGCTCCTTTTTTACAATTACTGAGTAATCGTTTCGTTATATCTATGGTCGAAAAAAAAACGACCCTGTGAGCAAAAACAATCTATTTTTAGATCAAACGCTGACTGATATTTTCATACTGATTGTTACCCCATTATTTACAGACTAAATTGTGTAATTATATTTTTCCATTTTTTCCTCTGCAACAATATATTCAAGAAGCTGTGTAAATCAGATGTGGATACTTGAAAATTTCAAGGAACTTTTGGACAAATTGAAATCACAAGATTCCACCAAAATCAACAGCTTAAAAGCTCACGACTTTTTAACTTTATACACAACCATTCCCCACCCTATATTAAAGTCTAGGCTTTTTGATATCATTGACAGCTGCTTTTTCAATAAAAATGGAACTCGTTAATTTACATACCTGATCATTGATCATTTGCAAAATTATTTTGTTAAAAATCATTCTTATTGTACACACATGTACTCTGAAGTTGACATCAAAAAGATGCTTGAGTTTCTGATTGACAATATCTATGTGGTTTTTAGTGACCGGGTCTTTCAACAATCTGTTGGAATTCCCATGGGTACCAATTGCGCTCCGTTATTAGCAGACCTATTTTTATATTCATATGAAGTAGAATTTGTGCAAAACCTTATGCGCGAAAAGAAGAAAACACTTGCTGTGGCATTCAACTTGACATTTAGATATATCGAAGACGTACTGTCAATTAACAATGGTAGTTTCCTATCTTATGTCGATATGATATATCCTAGTGAGCTTGAGATAAAAGATACCACACAGTCTGACACAAGTGTTTCATATTTGAATATTTTAATTGAATAAGACATTAAAGATGATCTAACAACCAAGCTCTATAATAAACGTGATGACTATAACTTTTCTATCGTCGACTTCACTTACCTACGCAGCAATATACCTTTAACACATGCATACGGAGTTTATATATATCAGTTGATTCGATACGCAATAGCATGCTCTATGTTTGAACACTTTCTAAAACGAGGTAAATTATTGACAAAAAAGTTGATGAAACAAGAATTTCAGCTGTTGTTGTAGTGTTTAGGATCCACATACAACACAATATAGACAAAAACTTGAAATGGTCCAGAGAAGGGCTGCTCGCTATGCACATAACAATTACCACAATACCAGTAGCGTTACAGGCACGACTAGTACACAACAGTGGTCAGCACTAGCTGAGCGACGCCTCAAAACCAGATTAATAATATTTTACAAAGTAGTTCACAAACTTGTTGCCATACCCACAAATATACTCATACCTACAGATTGCAAGAACCAGATAAAATCATTCACAAACATACAGACACTTACAAGTATCAAAAGACACATACAAATTGTCCTTTTTTCCACAAACTATTATACAATTAAATTTGCTTCCCCAGTCTGCTGTCCAAGCCAATAACGTAGACATTTCTAGAGAACAGCTAACCCCAGCTGTTCTCAACACTTATCATTGCCGTTTTTCATACTTATTGTTAGTCCATTTTTTTACACCGAATTGACGACGGATTTTTCCGTTATTTCCTGATCATGACAAGGAGCATACGGCGGGTGTGACCGGTCGGCAGGGGATGTTTACTCCTCCATGGCACTTGATCCCACCTCCGATGTTTTTGAGGTCCGTGTTTGGTCTGCTACTATCTTGTATCGTTTTATGGATTTTAATTTTGAATACTGTTTGTTATCTCCATGTGTTTTAGTTTTCCCGAACATGATAAGGAGCACAAGACGGGTGTGACTGCTCGGCAGGAGATGCCCACTCCTCCGTGAAACCTGATCTCATCTCTGATGATTTGGAGGTCCGTGTTTGCTCTGGTACTATTTTGTAATATTTAATGAACTTTTTACCTCGAATAATGTTCGTTATTTCCACATATTTCACATAAAGATTTGTTATCAAGGAAAACTTTCAAATTAATTCGCATAATTACTAAATCTATTGTTTTTCTGGAATTAAAAATACGACAAGCAGTAAAATCATTCTGAATTATACAGTTGTTAATGAATGAAAGAAGAATGGTTTGAATTTTGGGAAAACATTATTTTCTTCTAGTAGGAAGTTTTTGCCAAAAATACAGTTCTTCACTTTATGCTTTTGGTTTACAATTTTAGTCTAATGATTTTTTGACTCACTAGCTTTAAAAAGGCAAAGTGGAATCTAAATTTATTCTAAGAACTGTTATACTGAGTTTTTTTTCAAAGAGGACATGACAATAAACCGATCAAAAGCACAGGATCGAACCTCTTTTATCAGCAGGAAATGGGAATATCAGTTTTCTGTTTCCTTATTCTTTTGCGTTAGTTATACTGGTTGCCAGTAGCAATGCGGTGTTTCATTGTGTAAAGAATTAACTGAATTCACGCCAGCTGCTTAACAATTGAAGCATGGGGTTAATATTTTTAAAAATTCTTCTTTGTCATTAAATCGTCATTTTCAATTGATAAAAAATATTTAATAGAAAAGGAAAAATCACCGTAGTCACCGTGGGTGGGGGGGGGGGTGTTAATGGTTAATCTGCTTTATTTTGTGATTCACCATATTTATTGTCCATTTATTTTATTTACAAATTTACAATGATTTTATAATTTTATGAAAAGGGTAATGAAATAAATATTTAAATACTTACAACTCCTCTACCTTGTTGTACACAGGAAATGCATTTTCTTTGAGGAAAACAATGCTGTTTGAGTTTAAATTCCTGAAATGATGAAATATAATAACTCATGCAAAAATTGCTCAAGACTCAATTTGCAAAATATAAATATGTAAAGATTTGTCTAACTTTTGCACTCTCAAGACTGTACTCCGAACAATACAATTAACTCTTTGATAAAATGATATTTAATTATGTTAATTCTTTTGAGAAAATTAAAATCAAAAAGTTTCGTACTCACAATTTCCTAAGGCTAGGACAACTATCAAAAGTTGAATTCTCTATTGTTGTTATCTTGTTATGCTGCAGATTTCTGTGCCAACCGTAAACATATGCAATTAAATAAAACTATCTATTAAGATACTGTATACCCGTAACATCTATTCCATTTTTGAACAGTTAAAACACACTTGAGAGGGTAATAGAATTAACTTTTTAAAAGGGTTCTCGTTTGACTCTAATTTTAAAAAAAGTGTCTTTTTATTCTCTTAACCCTTACTTTTACGCTTTAATGCATATTCTCCTGTGACTTTGTCCTACTTACATCTGAGAAACGAAGAAGAAGTCCAGCTCTCTTTCTGATATATTTTCGATTTCGTTATTGCTAAGATCTCTGAAATATATAATATGTTTTATAACACACAGTTTTCAAGATCAAAGCCTATTCAAACGATACATTTTAGGAACAGAGCAAACATCGATCTCTAGAACATCCATTGCCATTGAGGTTTGTAAATCTCCTACCGATCGCTAACACTCTCCGTGTGTTCCTTGTCCTCATCGAGGGAAAATTTAATCAATATGAAAAAACGTCAGTCATCATTTGACTATTTGATGGATTATATTTGGTGACATGGTTATTGTATAGACCAGAAAACTTACAAAATTATGACAACTTCTTGTTTCATCAATGTATTTGTCAATAGCTTACCCCGTTTCAGAAAACTTTTAGTAAAGCATATTCTTGCGTTTTAAATCAATTGAGAGTCAATTTATGCAAATGCAGCTGATAAGCGTACTTTGTTCAATGAGGAATGAAAGTTAACGGTTAAAAAGTTGAATTCATCAGGTTTATTGAAGGGCTTAGTGTTATGTTATCATTTCTGTTTTTAATGAAAATATTAACAAATGAAACAGATTTATAATCTTTATCATATTATATTGATGTCGGCCGACTTAATTAAGGGGTACCGACCCTCTGATATGACAGATAACTCTCAGAGACAGTCAGAGTTATGAAAACTCACAGTTTTCTTAATCATTTCCTAATTTACACCTCTGAGTAGTCAATTCGATGAAATCTAACCTGTGACGGAAACATTACTTACTATTTCTTTTGCCAATCTCTTACTAATTGTTTTATTATATTTAACAATAAATCATTTAAATCCTACTTCAAAAGCATTTTTAATTGAATAAGTTGTATTTTTTAAAAGACCATTTTATTAATGGTTTAACACAGATGTATTTTTTTCTTACAACCACATACAACATTGTAATTTTCTGACTTAGGAAGCATTTCATGATGTTTTCTGACATGATTTTAATAGGTATTATACTAAGTATTATTTTCATATACACCTCATATTTCAAATTAAATGTTATGATAATAAACCGTTACTGTTTCTGTTCTCTATGTTGAAATTTCTTCATATCATGATCTGACATAAAAATCATTTCTGATAAGCTGCGCTTCTTACATCAAACTATTTTCCATGTGCCTCTAATGTTATTGTTGTTCATGAAAATCAACATTAGAAATATTAAATTTTCTGAGTGAAATTTGATAGCAGAGGGTCGGGACCCCTTAAGGCACGGCTGCTTTTAAAATTCTCATGTCGGCAGACCTTACCTTAAATGGAAAGTATATGGAAAGTATATTGAAATTAATTCTACTTTTAGACCCTGTATGCAGTAATTTTTAATTATTGGATATGTTTTATAGCTATTTCATTAAAATAAGTAAATATATGTCGTAAGCAAAAATGTTTTGTTTTTTTTTAATAGAAATAAATATTTAATTTTTGTTTAATTACACTTTTTATCTTAAAAGCTCTTTCCCCCTTTTCAAGAAAAGACTTTTCTTATGGTTTAATTATGTTTACAAGAAAATAAAAACAGCCAGTGCTAAAAGGACAAAGACCTTTCAAATTAGGTAAATAAAATTGTAATAGAAGATATTTCCAATGTTTCATGATTGGGACTTTTCTCCCACTCCTGTTCATTACCAATCCATCAGAAGAAGCCAGGGGATAAAAACACACAAATTGGTTGTTAAAAACCGTAACTTGTCGCAATCATTTATACATTTTTATCAGAATGTTTCTGTCTTTGTACAGATCCATTCAACTTAGCTTTGCTTCAGGTCACCATTATATAAAAAAAAGGATAGTAAGATGCCATGCAAAGCTGTACATGACAGCATCTTTAAACCGTTTCAGATGAATGCCTTCTGGCGATTATCACATTTTTTTTTCACCTATCCTTGGCACATGTAATGATCGTTTTCAAATTAAATTTTATATTTGAATTTAATTGATAAAAAATGTTAACTAAATTAAAGTACTCTTTTTTTAGTCGAATAGGACGTTAAAACAAATGTTTTGAAATCTATCATGTTTTAGAAATCTAAAAGTCAGCGAATACCTTGGTTTTCATTCTCTGTGCAAATACTTTAATGAATTAGTAAAAGGACATGTCTTACTAATTTACTTAGATTGCTAGTATTGAACGTCATTTGATAAAATCTTACAAAGTATCTTAAACTCTGCCTTAACCTGAACAAGAAAATCCAAAGGAACACATCCGGGGACGTTATTATGTTTTATTATACCTCTACTGATTTTTCACTATATAAGAGTAAATCGATATATTTTGCTGATTCCCGGAAAAACATAGTAAAAAGACTGATTCCCCACAGAAAAGTGTGTCAGTTTTATGAACTGATACACACCTTTTTGGAACACCTAGCAATATCTTTTAAACATATGAAAAGAACCGATGTGTTCTAAAAAATTATGAATATTCTTAATGCAGCCTTATATAAGGAGGCGGGGCCTAATTTATACTGGGAAAAAGTAACTTGTTATAGTGATGTCATCCTT